GAAGATGCGATAAAAATGTCGGAAAATTCATTTCCAATACGTACCGATAAGGTTATAATTATATATAATTATTAGGTATAAAAATCATACAGAAAGAAATTGTTTTATTTTTTCAGAAGAAATTGCTTAAAATCATAAATTTTCAAAAATACGTTAAAAGCGTTTTCCTCTCTACAAAAGCAAAATTTTTGATAAAATATCATTTTTTTCCACATATTTGTCGATATATCTAGCATACAAAACACCTTAAATGTCAGACGCAAATTTCATATTGAGTTGTGCTATTTATTTTATTTATATATTTATAAATATTACAGCACTATCTTTTAAAATATTAGAGTTTTTAGTTAAATATGCAAATTTAATTATATTAATCATTTGACAAAATTAAAAATAAAATATTTAACACGTTTTAAAATTTAATCAAGGACAGTAAAATTTTATGCTCACGCCGAGAGCGCATTTTGTAATTTTCAGTTTTAAGAAACACTGACATAATAAATTTGAAAATATAGAAAAAAAAAATTTTAATATCATAAATTTAGTATACCACTTTTAGATTAAAAGATTATTTTAAATTTAAGAATATATTCTAAATGAAACTAAAATTTTATTTTAAATATTAAGAATATATTTTTAAATTTGAAAAATATTCTTATTTTATTTAAAATACATTAAATTTAAGAATAAATTGCAGTTAAATATTTATAAATATAGGTATGACAAAGATTCATATTCTTAACGTTAGAATAAATTTTTTCTCGATGTACAATTTTGATATATATTAAATAAACTTTTTTTTAAAAAATGAAATTTATAATTTTGATTACATAACCAATGAAATTAACAATACCAGAATAATTGACAACTTTTGAAAACTTAAATTAATCACTACATCCCCCGAGGAGTTATTGGACTAGAAACCTTCGAATTATCGAACATAGATGTGTTGGCTGCTTTTGTGAAATTCTGCAAAATGAGACCAAGTAATTACACTTTGTCCATCGTAAACTTTAAACTTAGGCAATTATTCTGTCATAATCAATATAAATTATGCTCTACATTTCGCATAATAATTATTCTCTAAAAATAATAAATTTTAAATTCTTTTTTTTCAAATTATATCGAGCCTGCTTGAAAATATTTCAAACAACGGACTATTCTTGATAGATTCCGTCGGAATTCTGATAAAAAAATTTATGTCTAATTTTTTGCTATTATTATAATTATTTAATTACTTTATATAATATAATATCTTAATAATATCTATTATGTAATTGTAATAATTTTTTTTTCCGACGGAAACTTCAGAGAATCTGAGAATCCTTTAAAAAAGAAGAGAAATAGAGATTAAAATTTAGTTAACATTTTATTGTCATTTTTTTTAAAACCAGTCTGACTATATTTAAAGCCATTTGAAGTTTTACAAAAGTTTCAAAACTTTTTTATAGTATTAAAATTCTTTAAAAAAAACTTATCGATATCTCCGTTCTGCTTGGTATGCCTGAATGCATATGAACTTGTACTACTTAAAATTCGAGAAATTCCACATAAAAACTTTTACTTATATTGAAATTATTTTAAAACTTATCAATATCGATACTACTTAAAATTATATACCTATATTTTGCTTTTTTTTATTAAATATACATTAAAATATACGAGCTAATTTTTTTTTAGTTTTTAAATATAACTTTCATTATTTTTAAAAACTTGTTTAACTATTCTTATACTTGTACTACTTAAAATTTAAAGACACTTTGAATAAGCCTTTCATTTTAAATGTTAAAAAAAATAAATTGTAAATACAAATTAAAATTCAGTTAACTTTTTATCGTTATAAAAAATTCAATTGGGCAATAATTAGTTTTTTCTAAAGTAAATTAATCCTGAGTTTGTTAAATCAGGCAAGTCATATCAAATCTTCATGCGGCGAAGCTCATCGTTAAAAGTGGTTTTCAGTCAGAAAATTAAAAAAGATTATGCAAGAAGTAGCGTAGATAAAAAGGCAAATAGAGCAAAGTAGTTTCTTTAAACTTGAAATAAATTTCCTAATTAAAACTCCCTTATATGGTCTCTCTTTAATCACTTTTTATTTATTTTTTTTTTTTACATAAACTGCACTTATTAAAAATTCTTTCTATATAAAGGTTAATTTATTCCACTTTAATTTGTTTTTACTATCGAAAAATCTTTAATTTCCTTCTCATTTATTTTCTCCTCTGATATATTTCTTTTTATGACATTGATTTTTTAATATTGCCTTTCGCTCTGTCTTATATTTCTTTAGTTTAAAAATTTTTATTTTTAAAATTTTACTCTCTTAAATGTTATTTTTAAGAAATTTTAATTTTTTTATATTAAAAAATTTGTTTGAAAAAACATTTTTTGTATTGTTAATTGTTTTTTTTTTAAATATTTATAATTTAGGAACGAGAGAGTTAGTGTGAAAAAAGTGTCCGAATAATTTTAATATATCGCTTTGCTTTTCACTTCTTTTTATTGAGCTCCATCAGTGTCAACCGCAGCCTGCTCATGATGGCTAAGGTGCATATTGTTGTCATTGTTATGCGGTTCCAAACCTCAATTGGAAATTAATCCTTAATTGAACGAAGGGATGAAAATCGGATTAAAAGCTGAATTAAATAGAATCTATAGCTGTGATTTCATCAAAATTTCATAAACCTATTAACTCCATAAATAGACATTTTTTTCGCGCACTTGTAAATTGTAATTTTCAATTTGAAAAATCAAATACAACAGATTTCTCTTGATTTCAAATAATCTCCACAATACCTATACAATTTTTCAAACATTTTCAAAATAATCGAATTTCTTTTTTTTTCATTTTCTTGCAAATCAAATATCTCTGTATTCATTCATTTCGTCTGTCCACACTTGAAGTTAGTCGTTTTTCTGTTTCTGTTGTTTTTCTAAAATTTTGACAATTCTCGATTTCGTAATATTTTATGGTTAACGCGACGGACACTTTTATTCATCTTTATTAATTAAGTAATAAGTAATAATTTACTTATTACTAAGTGACCGTTTATTTATAAATTTATTATATTATATATTAATAATTTATTAATATTTTTATACAATAATTATTATAGATAACTATAATATTTTAACAAATAATAATTATTTTTTGCGTTATTTATTATTATTTATAAATTTATTATTATTAATTTTTTTTTACTTTTAATTATTATTGTGATATTTTTTATCTGTAAACATTTCATATTAAAAGAAAACAAAATTCTTTTTGATATAGAAATAAATTGTATGTTTTTAAAAATTTTCAATTTGCTTCCAATTTTCAATTTAAGTTGAAAGTTCAAAACATTAAAAAACTTTATTTTGTTTTATATTTTTCAAAATTTTTAAACATTTTTTTAAATGTCAATACTTTTTTAAATATAATTAATAATTTTCAGTTAATTTTATTTTATTTTTGATTAATCAATTTTTTTCGGCATTTCAAGTGAAGGCGGTTGTAAGCGATACTAGAATTGGTTTAACAACATTTACACAGCAAATTCTTATCATCATCACGGTGGGATTTTTTCTTTGGTTTTTCATTGTTGTTACCGTTAACAATCAAACTACACGTGCGCTTTAGCGAGCTATATTTTAGCTAGTAATATTAATAATAATTATAAAAAAAAAAAATTATAGGGTCTCCTAACATTTTTTTAAAGTTATGGGCAAAAAACGATTTTTCAAAAATTTTAAAATGCAAAAAAATAATAGTTAATTTTTATTAATATTGCTCAAAGTACTCTCATTATTTGTCCGCCAGTGAGACCTACAATTTAAAAAAAAATTATCCCTTTAGCCCTTATAGTATTCGAGATATTTAAGAAAATGTAGTGTATACACACACACACACACACACACACACACGGAACGACATTTTTTAAAAATGGGATTTTTGGATTCCTGTGGTCGAAAAACATAAAGATACATCAAAAAATCAAGTTCGAAAAATTTCGGTATTACAATGCTTCCTCCATGAGGAAGAAATAATATTCGTTTAATATTGAAAATTGTATGAAAAATAGTTCATTTTGCTTTGGTAGTATTATATTTGTAAATTTAAAAATGTCACAGTTCTTTTTTCATCTGCAGTGACGAATAGTAACAATATATATAAAAAAAAAATAACATGCGAAACAAAACGAGAGTTTCTTTATTTAAACTCAACCATTTATTTTCACACTTCTCTGACAAATCAAAAGTAACTGAGCTTTGGAAAAAAAAAAAATATATATATATATATACATATATGTGCTTGACATTCGGTATGCCATGAACAAATGGTGCCACAAAGAGAAGAAAAATAAAAAGCCTCAATCTTTTACCTTATCGACATTTTCAAATACTAAAGAGTGTTTATACCGAAAGTGTCACATATATATATTTGACCAAGTTTACCAAGTAAAATCAAAAAATATATATTTTTTTTTCGAAAAAAATTCTTTAAAAATTTTTTTTCTTTTTTTAATAGAAAAATTTCCAGCTTATTTCATCATTTATTATATAAAGTTGAAGACACTTAAAAAGTTTTGATGAGATAAAAGAAAAAAAAAATAATAATAATAAATGGTCAAAAAAAGAAAATTTATGATTTCATACGAATTTGGATTTCATGACATTCTCCTGCGCGCAAATATAGGTTGAAGCGAAGTTTTCACACTTTTTGGTATCCATAAACTCTATACAAATCCCGGAAAAGCTCGAATACGAAATTTTTCAATTTAGAAAAGTACCCATATATGAAAAACGACAGCACTTCCGAGTCTAATAACTCCGGAAATTTTAATACAAATAGGTTCATAAAAAAAAGAAGAGAGTGAATTTGGTTGCACATTGAAATGACACATTCCGCTCAATGTAAATCGAAATTCAATTTACCGTTTCCTATTAAAAGGAAAAAAAAAAAAATAAACAAAATTTGTTTTAAAAAAACAAAAAAAAAAAAAAAAAACTCGTACCTTTTTTGCATATGATGAATATGGCGACAATGTAAAATCTGATTTGCCATCTCAAAGCCATTTCCGATTTGATTTCGTAGTTCTTGATTTTTTCAAAGAAAACACATTCTTTTTTGGATTTTTTTCTTTCTTTCTCGTCAGCCAGCCCATGAATCATAACACAAACGAGAAGAGGTCTTTTGATAAAATTATCATTAAATCTCTTTCACTTTTTCTCTGCACTTTTTTTTATATATAGTGTGTGGCTTTTCACGAGTATAGTCCTTAATTAAATCTGTGTACGCTCCACAAGCTGGATAGTTTATGATGTGACATTTATGCCCTTCGAATAATAAATATATATATATATTGAGAGAGAGGGAGAGAGACGTTATAGTCGTTAGTATAACTTTCCCAAAAGGCGACACTTACACTTTAAAACATGTTCACTTGCAAACATATAATATGCACGTGTAACACACTGACATGATGATAACTTTTGCACCAATGTGTAAACGATACCAAAACTCCATCGATGGTGAAACTTTACCGTAATCGCCACACGAAACTTTTCGCACGATTGTCACTATATGTATTCTCGATCCTTGAGCAAGTTATATGCACTTTCACACAAGAAACGTAAACTTTAACCGTGAAGTTGTAACTCATGCTTTTCTCTTTACATAAGATAAACTGTTATTTTTCTTCCAACGTAGAAAAATCCTTCCACTTGTGTTCAGTTTTCTTGAAAATGCTTTTCAAAATATATTTCACTGTGTGACAATTTTTACAAAACTTATAAATATTCCAATAAATAATTGCATATTTTTTTGTTATCAAAAATTAAAAATTATGGTAATTTTTTTTTTTGATATGAAAAGGTAATTTTAAATGACCAATTTTTTTTTTTTTTGAGAAGATTAGAAAAAGTGTTTAGTAATTCTTCTATATATTATATTTGAAATAAAAACTTTTTTCAAAATTCTATTAAAAATAATAATCTTTCTTTAATTCTTTGGAATTTTCTTCAAAAATTCTCCAATTAGTGTGAAAAATTTTATTCTTTTGTTTAAATGAAAAAATCTCTTGGCAATTATTCGACAATTCTCTTCGAATTTCATGTGAAAAATCCATTTTAATGAAAAATAACATTATATTTCTCATTATCACGTATCGCTGTTGTATTATGATAAAAATGATAATATTTGATCACACAATTGTCCGAAAAAATAGAAATATTCTTCAATTTAATTTATTACATTTTTTTAATGAAATTATCATCAAAAATCATTGATTTTCGACATTCATTAGATGATTTCATTTAGTAATTTATGTCTTAAAGACTATAAAAAATATACATGAGTCTCAAGACATTTTTACATTTTTTTTTTTTTTGTTTGTTTTTCACTTTTTATTATATAATGGTAAAAATTAAATAAAACTCGTTCCAGTCCATTTTAATGAAAATATAATATTTTTTCCATGTAAAAATTTCTTTTTTAAATGCATTTTCCTTTTTAAAGCGGGAAAATTCAAAATTCCAAACACCTTTTTATTTTATTTATTTTTTTTTAACGATAATTTAATAGAAAGTGTTTATTGAATATTATTTGTTGATTTATGCACATTATTAATTAATGTTGTTTATTATGATAATAACAATAGTTTGATGGGGATTTTTTTCACTGAAGATTCAAAGCATGGCATGGTATATATCACGACACAGACACACGTCTTGATTCGGTGGCAGATTTACCCTGACTGGGGAGATTCTCAGCGGTAAGAGCATGCGCGTTATGAAAACCACCCCCTTGTAAAAGGTGAACACAGAGACACCAATATATATATATATATATATATATATATATATATGTACATATATACATACATATATATGGTGGAAATAAGCAGAAGTACGCTCACGCATTAGCCTGTATGGAGGAACACCTCCAAAACTTGGCTATACGGTAGTATATAGAAAATGCGGTTGGGTTAGGTCACTAGTCAAGCGGCGAATCAAAAAATAAAATTGCAAACGAGAAAAACGTACTCGACTGTCGGGAATGCAATAATTATTCTCGGGCAAAGCACTTTTATCTTGAAGCCTTGCGATGCCACGATATTACTACTACTACTACTAAAAGTTTAATAAATATGTATTTAATAAAAAATTATTCAATTTTTTTTTATTTGTTCAAACAAATTTTATTTGAAATAACCAAAAAATTGTGTTAATACCAAAAAAAAATTGTATATTTGGTTCAAACAAAATTTTTATTTTATCTCTAAATTTCAAATTTTAAAATTTTAACAAATTTAAATTAGTGACTTACTTTTTGCTTTTGAATTACAATTTTACTAATTTGATAGTGAAAAATTTTTTCTACTATTAATTACTTAAATTTTACTAATTCAAAAGCAAAAACTAAGTAACAAATTTAAATTAGTTAAACATTTTACTAATTCAGATTTAGAGAATGATATAAGTATGTGAGTCAATTATTTTCGAAAATTTTGAGATATTTCCAATGTTTTATAAAATATATTTGTTTAATAAATTTTTAGTATACTTAAAAAACTTTTTTTTTAAAAAAAAACTTTGTTTTATGTACTAAAAAAGTTTGAAACATATTTAGATCATAATTTTTTTTATGAAGCGTGAACATATAAAATGTTTTTTTTTTTTTTTTTTTGAGAAAGTTGAATTTGTTCCAAAATTCTTTTCCTATCGTCTGAATATTTTTACGATAGTACTATAAACAGAAAAAAATTGTCTCAAATTGCAAATAAATATACTTAAAATGTGTTTTAAAAGGTTTAGTAATATTTTTATATATTACAGTCAGAAAAAGTGTATTTAAGTATTGGAATTTGATATTAATAGATTTTTTTTGCAATATTCTTATTTTAAAAGTAAAATATAAAAAAAAAATAAAATGAATTTCAAAACAGTTACTGACTATTTTTGAAATTGAACTTAGTACTTACAAATTTATAAAATTTCCAATAAACTCTTTAAAAAATTGAAAATTTTAAAAATCTTATCGACATCTCGGTTTAATTTAGAGTCTGACAGCGTATGCACCTGTTCCACTAGAAATAATTAATTTTTCATTATCTGTCATTATTTTCTTTTTTTTTTCATTAAAATCGTTCTAGTTTTTTTAATTTTATTAAAACTTTTTTCTATCTCGATTACAAAACACTCTCTGATAATATACTTACTGTCATATAATACTTAAAATTTTAGAAAATTACAAATAAAAATTATTATATTATTGAAATTTTTATAAAGCCAATCCAATATCTCAAATTCATTTCAACGTCTGACCGCGTATAGATTTATACTACTTAAAATGATATATTATGCTTTTTTCTTTTATTACAAATAATTTTCAAATCAAAAATCTTATTTTTTAGTTTCCAATGCAACATGTCTGACAATTCTTATAGTTGTATTATTACTTAAAATTACATAAAGTTTAAAAAAACTGTTATTAATTGAAATTCTTGTAAAACTTTTATCGTTTATCTTCATCCTATTCAGTAAATGAATCTATTCCACTTGAAATAATTTTTTTTATTGAATATACATATACATATATATACACTTTTCAAAATCTAGAAGCTCATTTTTTAGCAATGCTTAACTTTAATTATTATTCAAAACCTGTCTGACTTTATTTAAACCTATACTACTTAAAATTTTAGTGAGTTTCAGATGAAAACTCATATATATAAAAAAATTTTTTTTATAAAACTTTAAGACTTATTCGATATCTCGATTTAATTCAGAGTCTGACCGCGTATGTACTTATACTACTTATACTACTACTACTTATATTACTTATACTACTTATACTACACTATATTTATTGTACCAAACTTTTATAGATTTCAAAAATCAGTTCGACTATTTTTAATACTATTCTACTTAATATTAAAAAAAATTTAATTTAATGTAGGGTCAGTTGGGGTAAATGGGGACAAAATCAGTATTTTTCACAAAATACGTAAGTTTCTTCCTTTAAAACGTAATATTTGCAGGTTTATTTTTTTTAAGTTGTTATTTACATTCCCAGGATTAATTTTATGCAGCAGAAAAAAATGTAGATAAGCTTTAAACGCATGAAACTGACTGTCCCCATTTACCCCAAAAAGAAAATTTCATAAAATTTGGGGTAAATGGGGACAGCATAGTTTCCAAGAAAGTTTTAAGAAAAAAGTTTCCTTAAGTATATTACTGTATTAGGGGAGGAAAAAACTTGAAAAAATGTTGTAGTAGATATATAATAGTTGAACCAATTGAAATTTTTTTATTTTATTTTCTTTTTTTTATTTCAGTATTTTGTCTCGCATTTGAAAACAAACAGATTTAAAAATTATACCAAATTTTTTTCTTATTCCTTATGACTTCTATAACAGAAATTCACTTGAGTTTTTGATTTTTTGTTAATTTGGTTAATAATGACAAGCTGTCCCCATTTACTCCAAAAATTTGAAAACTCAAGGTAAATGGAGACAACTTGTCATTATTAACCAAATTGACAAAAATCAAAAATTCAAGTGAATTTCAGTTATTTTTAAGTCTGTTTTCTTTGAAATGCGAGCCAAAATACTGAAACTGTTTGATTTTAATTTTCAATTTTTTATGCATTGAGCGATAACTTTTTTTTTATCCTGCTGCCAATTGTCAAGATAAAAGCTTGGCAATGCTCAAAAACTCTTCCAGGTGATCTGAGGTTAAAACATTGACGTTGAACTTAATTTTGAAACTGTAAATTTAGCTTCAAAACCTCTTGTGCTCATTTACCCCAATTGACCCTATTAAAAAAGTTTTTTTGTGTAATTTATTACAACATTTCTGTTTAATTAATCAAAAAGTTTTTTTATTTAATTTATTAAAAGATTTCTATTTAATTAATCAAAAAGATTTTTTATTTAATTTATTAAAAAGAATTTCAATTAATTTTTTAAAAATTTCATTGATTATTATTATTATAGTTGTTTGGTAAAAAAAATATAAAATTTGTATAGGAAAACTGAAATGAAAATTAAATTTGTTATGCAACTGAAAACAGAAGTAAATTCTTTTTTAAAGCTTTTTTATTGAATCGTGAATGCTTTAAAAAACGAAAATATTAGGTATCATCTTTTATATATATTTTTTTTTTTTGCAAAAAGACGAAATATGTGGATAAAAAATTGTCGACCTTACGGGGTTACTGGCTTTGGCATTTTATTTTCAGATATAAATAATGTCTCGCGTGACGTGCGTGCTTTTGCACATATATCCATTTATCAGTGCCTGTAACGTTCCACAGTTTCATACCGTCTACAGATAACATGTACCTGAACAAACCTTAGGAAACAATGCCCAGTATCAATTAATATGAATCTCGGTGGGAAAAGTATACTTTAATCAACATCGCATGATATTTCAACAAGATTTGAAAAATGATTATTGTGTATTTTCAAAACTATTTCATATATAATATATATATATATATTTATGTGATTTATTTATTACTATGTAAGAAATTTAATTAATTAATTAAATTTAATGAATAATTTTTTTATATATACATGGAATTACAATACTGTTTTTATTTTTATTTATAAAGAACATTTAAAAAATTATAATAATTGTCTGATTTTCAATATAACAGAAAACATTTATTTAGAATATCGTTTTTATTTAATTAAATATATTATTTCTTTACTATATTGAATAACATAATAATACAAACGTTAAAAATTTCTTTTTTAAAAAACAAATTAATTTCTCTTTTATTGAAATAAATTTTTGAAATGTATACATGAAAATATCCGTACAATTTAGTTAGTAATTAATATTTAAATTCGCGCAGTGGTTAAAATTCATTTGAATTGTTTTTCATATTTTATTTATGATAA